TGTAAGATTATATAAAGATGAAGAAGAGGTTGATATTGGTTACGAGCAACCAACAAATGAAAAGAATGGGTATAATCATCGAGTACATTTCGAAGATTATAGTGATAAGGAAATGGAAACTTTGAGTCATTATACTTGAAAGCATTGGACAAGGGCAACTACTGAGGTATTGGTGAAAGTAGGAGATATAGAAGAACCAATTGTTGCTTTAGTCGACCATGGTTCTGAAATAAATCTCATGTCTAAAGATCTTTATAAGAAGCAAAAATGGCCAATTGATATGGAACATGGATGGGCAATACGAGCAGCTAATAACACACGGGGCGAATTATATGGAGCTTGTCCAGATATCAAAATTGGGATTGGGGATGTTGCGACGGAGCAACATTTCTTTGTTCAAGATACAACGTCTTATCCGTTGATTTTAGCACAACCTTATATTATGGCAACACGGATGGAAACAAAAGTACTTGACGATGGTTCTGCTTATGCAAGGGTACGTAGCAAAGATGGAAGGAAAGCTGTACAATTTCTAAAAGTACCTCCTAACCATGAATGGAATCGAGATAGGTTGAAGGAGAAACCATTGCCAAAGATTGTTGAAGGATTTAAGGATTTTGGGGAGGTACCACTATAAAGCAAGATTATGGAGGTACAAAAGAAGAGGTACTCTCGCGAGATGAAGGTACCTTTGATGCGAGTTTTATTGGTATTTTGGAGAATGGAAATATTATGTATAAGAAAGTTGATGATTTTAAAAGAAAAGAAAGAAAAAGATTATATGATATTGAAGGAGAATTACTCAAGTTAGGTACACAGCAAGAAGATGAAAGTGATTTGGATAATGAAGGTGACAAAGATGAACTGGACAAAAACGTAGAAAATATATTCTAAATCAAACAGCTATTGGGTAAATTGGTGCATACCGGAGGATGCACAAGTTCAGAGAGGGTGGATGTCGTATTGTAACATGAGTATACCGTGAAAATATAAAGAAAGGGGACTTTTATTAATGTTCAGTTACCTCGAATATTAGGAGCAATGACCAATTCCAGTGCAAATACTGAGAGGCCAGGGTTAGGCACTCCGTTACAATCAGCCGGGGCATACTGAAATGCTCCGTTCGATTCCAATAACGGGAGTCAGCAGAAAGGAAAAGGACCAATTCAACTACGAGTGAGCATGGTTCGAAGAGCCAATTGGATCCAATTTCAAGACATCCAATCTGGGTCCTCTTACCCAATATGAGACCTGACTTAGTCGGGCAACCCAATGCGGTCCAATTACGAAAACATCTAGGTCTTACTATGGGCCTCTCAGCCAATATGAGACCTGAATTGGTTGGGCGACTCAATGTGGTTCCGATTTCGTTTCAAGCTGTTTCGTCCTTTGTGCCGTTCCGGGAACGTCCTTTCGGTAAAAAGATCTCTTAAAGGTAAAAACGAAGGAGAAAGCTCTGACGGCGAGAGCCAATTCTGGATCCAAGACGGAAGATTGAAGAAATTCAGAGGCTAAGGTTTGAGGGAGGGGAGAATTAGGGTTAAAGGAGAGGATAGGTTAAGAAATGGAAGGAGAGAGAATAAGTTTTTAGAAGAGTCGGAGAGCTAGCTTCATGCTTCGGGTGGGGAAAAAAAATAGAGAATTGGATTTTTTCTTCATAGGGTTTTGGAAAGACTGAGGCAATTGTTGCTGAAGTCAGTGTTGTACTGATGAATCGGGATTTTAATGAAGTGGGTATGATTACTCTTGATTGTTTTATGAAATCGAGTTACGTCTGTGATGAAGAATTAAAAGGTTGTCTATAGGATTGAGTATGTGGAGTGAATGAAATTTATTGGGTTAATCTAACGAGACAGTCAGTGGATACAAGATCGTGAGTATAAAGCGATATCAAAGATTAGCAGTTTGGGTTGTTCGGGGTTCTCTGTAATGTCTAGAGACCTATCGGCTGGGACAAAAAGGACTTTGGCGAGCAGTTGAAGGACATCTGTATAGATTTACGGTGTATTCTTGCAGTTGTTTATATTCCAACAGTCAAAAACTGATAGACTGCTTGAATATTAGCGAATCTCCATACTACCTTCTATAGCCAGACGCCTAGCGCATTCTCGAGCAAGAAAGCACGTAATACGACACCATGACAATGTGTTATTCAGCAACCTTAGTGAGTGAAGTCATTAAGCAAGGCTTCAAGCAGTCTACATTCATTAGGTAATATCTTGATAAATCTTTTACATGTTTTTATAGATTGTCTTTGTTATACCAACAAATCTTCCATCTAATTGGCGCATTTTTGTTAAAACCTCACATAGACAAATATTTGTAAGTAATAAAATATCAACGCTTACACTTTTAATTAATATTAGCTTCTTATGTGCACTATGTTTAGAAGAAGCCAATGACAATTTATAATTGTGCTCAAGATTGATAACCTTGAAGAATCAACAATCGTCTCATTTGGTCAGTCAAGCAATAATCTCAAATAGAAAACTTTTTTTTTCACTTGACCTTTCTTACTTTCTACAAAGTTCAAAAAATAAGCTTCTATGGTCACTATTGTGATCACAACAGTGCCACAAATGACAATCTTTCTTAGAGCGCTTAGTTACAATGGCATAATTATAATCTATTGTATTAATTTTAATATCTTTGAATAAATCTTTCTATAAGTTGTACATTTTTTTTGAATTTAGTGGAAGAAGATATATTATAAAAAAAAGAAAACAAAAGAAAAAATAATTTATAGTTTAAAATACTTGCAAAAAAAACATCACCAGCTATTATATGTGAGTTTTAGTTTAGATCCCATGTTAGCACTAATAAATTCTTATAAATTCAAGTTTTAGCTTACAATATTATTATTTCATTATTTCTTTGTTATTTAAATATTAATAAAATGTTTATTTGTTTTATATTGATAATCTTCAAAAATTCATGCCATAAACTTTCAACACTTCTATAAAAGATTATATTTTAATAATTGTGCCAAATCACCACCAAATTTTTAGTCTTTACTACTAACCTTCAAAATTTCAATGAGCTTTTCAAACAAGTTATAATAAATAGCAAATATAGTATATTTTGAAAAGATAAGTACCAAATATAATAAGAACTAGGACTCACCTTCAAATATTGAAATTTCTTTATATTGTGAATGTTAATATTAGACAAACAATTACTTTGGCTCAAATATCAATATTCTTTAGCAAATTTTAGATGTAATTGTTATGCTCTAGAATAGAATATTTACAAATCAAAAAATATTTATGATGATTATAATTCATAATCCATCATATTTATAATTATAATATATAATATTAAAAATATTAATATATTATATTCATAATTATATGTTTTATTTATAATCATATATTATATTTATAATTTATATTATATGGACACAAGTCTTCTCTTACATCATCCTTCAAAATACTACAAGTTTTTTCCATGCAATTCAGCTAAACAACTCAAAAACAAAAGCTACTTCAAAACTAAGTAATAATATAAAGCCCTAAGGTTACAAAACAATTCTGCAATTGCTGAAAATTATGGAAGCGTTGTGTGATATTATGAGTGTAAAAATTTTGATTATCAAACTTTAGATGAAAGAGATTTAGAAAATAAGTATACAATATGGACCAAGACTTACATATGTATATTAGTGCATTGGAATTTGTTGCGGGTCAAATAATGCTTAGCAAGTTCATTTGGAATTTGAGAATATAAATACATGAAGTAAATGAAAAGTAAGTCACAATTCAAATCTTTAAAAATTCTAAGCTTGAGCAAAATAATCCTAAGACAAATACATCAATACACCATCAATAACTAATGCATCATTCATCTTCATAAGGATTGGTATTGAAAATCAAATCTCACACATTTTAAATAATCAGATTGTGTGAGCTTGAACATGTTAAAATCCTCACAATTACATGCTCTTGAATGCATCAAGGATTGTAATAAGAACCTAGGAAAGGAATGTGTGGTGCAATAAAAGTTATTGTACCACACTATAACATAACAATAGAATGTGTAGTGTAGTATATGAAAGTTAACAAAAAAATGTTGATATACTTTTCTATTGGATTGAAATTTTCTTTCAAGAGCAGTACTCTCAAAAGTCCTTAAGAGGATCATTGGTCCTTGACCCTACTTCCTAACCAATTAGTGGGACCACCAAAGTAGAAATTGCCACTTCTTTTCACCTCCTCCACTTGTGTCAAGTGGTAAAGTCTATATAATAACATCCAACTAATGACAAGTCTCCATATTTATTTGGTGCACATATAGCAAGATGAGATGTACTTGTAGTAACTTAAGGTATGCTTGTAGCCTAAGCCTAAAATAAAATGCTTTAGTATTACTTCAAATAATTTGATGACCATAAAACAATGGTCGAAGATGAGGAATGGACAAAATCAATCTTGAAATGGTAATGTTGGGTGTGGCTTTAACAACTCCTTGTCTATATATATATATATACACACACATAAATCAAGTCCATTTTAAATCCTTGTCTATATATGTACACACTCATAAATCAAGTCCATTTTTAATCAAGCAAGGTGCAATCAACAAAATGTTAAGATCTAGGAAACAATGTCTGGACATCGTATTTTCCATAAATAGTATAGCAAAAGCTTACATTCTGAGTTTTCACAAACCAAATTGTCATGCTGACAAAGTAGCAAAATGGTTATCAGCTATATTCTTCAGTTAATACTGTGGGATTCGCTGCACATTTTAGTATTGTTGTCCCAGCAAACAATTCTTGCATTTATTACCCAAAACTACTTAACTTGTAAGAGAGCAAAAAGTTCTAGGTTATTCAATTCGATGAACTAGATTCTCAAGACCATCTACTTCACATTCATTGCACAGATAGCCTAGCAATGGCTTTGTCTCAATATTCCAAACAAATAAATCCAGAGAGCAAGCAGGAAATTCCAATAACAGTCACTGCTCAGATGTAGCCATCCACAATCAAGACACCAGCCTTTCAAACTTTCTGCATCGAATCTCAGCAGGTCACAAGCCCACATTATTATTATGAAGAAAAGAATTACTGTAATGCCCACGTCGGGCCTCTTCAAAGAATCAAATCAATGGATGTCGCTGGAGGGGAATCCCCCACCACTATAAGCCATGCATATCACAGCTCCAACTCTTTGCGTAACAAATAATGCCGTGAATTTTCTACCTGCCTGAAATGTCTAGTCTAGAATTTCCAAGCCGCCTTTATACTAGGAATCTGCAGAGCCTCGTAGTGACCAAATCCATGATATAGAACCCGAATCGGCTCAATTTTGCTGTGTTCCTGACCATATTCAGCTATGGAAATCAAGCCTTCTCTGATTTTCTCCTCAATCATGTACACTGTAATCGGCATTCTGCACAAGAATCAACCACGTCGAGACATAAGTACAGCATTGATATAACCGCAAGGACTTCAAGTAAATCAAAACTAATTTGGTAAAATGCAGAATCCATGGATTCAGAACTCACTGGAGTACGTGGGAGAGCATGATAAGCTCTGGCTCACCACCCCACACATAAGTCTGGCGCATTCGCTCGACATACTGATCAAAATCTCCCTCAATGAACCACTCTGAAGATTCTCTCCGCTTAATTAGCTCATCGGCAACTTTACTACGAAGCTCATCAGCCAGATCGCGTTGAGCTGTTTCATCTGGAGCAGCTTTTCCTCTGCGCAAACATGAGCCATGTGCCACAGCACGAAATAAACACCTTCCGTCTCCAGGAATTCCTGTCAAAGAATCATCATACAGAACACAATAATGAGTTCGAGAGTAACAGCAAAGGATACAGCATGGAGATAGGATTCATGCAAAAACCCCTAGAAGTTGTCCAACACGATGCAAAAGCTCAGTAATTAGACTGGTGCTGAGCTCAAGTGTCGCAACCATCTTACCAGTAACCGTGTAGTCGGTAATAATTTCCTTCCCATGTACAGGCTGTTCACTCTCAGGAGTCGAATGAATGATTTCCGCATGTTCAACCTCAGCTTCTGCGTGTGCAGTAGATGAAGACATAGTATCTCCAACAGCTTCGATCAGGACAGGGGACGATGCGGCACTAATTAATGGTGCAGCGGCTGCTGTGAAACAAGCACAGACACCGAAGAGAAGCCAGGCTGAGTGACGACCATACAACCAACGAGCAGGTCGTACGTCCCAGCCTGCATTCCATGATGCTTCACTCAATCCCCCAGTCAGGGCAGCCGTAGAATTCAAGCTGTCCAAAATTGGGAGGCCAACGTTATCGACTGACAACGACCCGGATCTCAGAGTAACCATTGCATTTGAGTTACTGTCAACCTGTGTATCACAAAGGTACAAGTGAGAAACGATTCATGCCAGCATGGATAATCTGCAAACATGCAATTCATCCTGCAGTCACGAAGTTAGCGAAAGACTTACCGAGGTGGAGTCTGTGCTTCCGATCATCATGACTGCAAGAGGATCAAAACCAGCTTTCACAACAGATGTTGATAAAATTGAAGGAAGTTTCTTATCACATTCTAAAGGTGCAGGGTAACTTCCGGGTTGAAGTGCATACTACAAAACTGCATCGACCTCCCCATAAACTGCCAGTATGTAAGAGCTTGAAAGGTTGTGAAGACTTGTCAGGCCAGAACAGGACATGTGACAGCCTGTCTCATTGTTTGAAAGTAAAGGTACATCTTGAAGTGGTTTACTTCGTGTAATGAATCGCAGAGGTGTAATAGGCCCAGATACAATGGCCCTGACTAGAACGACATAGCGGAGAGAGCACCACTTCTCCCGGCTGTTGTGAGTATAAGTTTAGGGTGTGCAGATGATCGAATAAAAGAAGACTTGGTGATTGCTGGCAAGCGGCAACCCACGTGTTCCTCAGATAAAATGTCATAAACAGAATCTGCTAGCACAACTTGTGCCTCAAGAACCGTTCATTAATTTTTGTGATCGGAGAACCCTCGATCCCAACTGATCTCCACGAAAGACAAATAGTCCTGCAAGAGGATATCACAATCGTCAGAAATAACTCACTCAGCCAAATATGATCTTCCGTCGCTGCACGTCAAGAGACGACATATGTGATAACACAAATGCGCCGTAATAAAAGAATGTTGGAGAAAATACCATTAACATGCACTTTACATAGGAGAAAGAAAGATAAGTCCTCCCATCGCGATCGATACCGACGAATACATCTGAAACGATCTCTCAACAAGCGAAGTCTGAATATGTAACACTTTCTAACCAAAGTGAAAGGAAAACTAACGCAGGGTTACAAACACTTGTCAAGAAGTAAAGTCGGAAATGAATCACCAATAAATAAAAAACACATTCAAGCTGGTGCTGTAGAAAGGGCAAGGCGTTACGCCATCACGAGTGGAGTCTACAAGAGCGATGAACAGTCTTCATAACATCGAACCCATCTCGGTCATTAACATCAAAGAAACTCCCTTCAACGCAAGCACTTTTCAACCCTAGCAGTTTTTCTGAACTAAAACCCGATCTTCTCAGGGAAATCGAAACTAAGAATGCAGAACTCCACTCACATTGACCGCATGCGCCTCAACGGTCGACCTGACACATACTAATAAAAAATAAAATATAACTAATGTTACCCTCCAAAAAGCAACACACAACAACAGAGTGAGCTTCCAACACAGCAAGCAAGCAAGAGAGGTTCGCCACCTCGTACCACCACGACCTAAGCGTAACACCTCCACAACACAGAACATCAACTGTGTCCAAAACTCCTGTAACCTGTAGGCCAACGCTACTCTATTGATCCACCTCTGCCACAAGATTCACGGTAAAAGATAACCGCAGCATCTCACTACCACCGACGCTACTCAACACAGCAGGAATACAAAAACAAACACAAACACACACACACACACAAACACAGTGAGCACAACGAACTAACCGTCAGCTCCTCCTGCACAGCTTCTTCGGTACCCCGCGGACTCACGTCCAGAATCTAGAAGCCTCCTCGCGCTGCGAACTCCATCAAAGGTGAAGCAGCAGCTGAGAGTAGGAAAAGGTGAGAGAGGAAGAGTGGAAGAGGAGACACAACAGCAGCAGCAGGGGATGCAACCAATAAAAAACAACAGCCGAGCAAGTAACACGGAGGGGGCGTGTTGTTGGTGTCGCTGGGCAGTCTGCTCAGAGCTCCTCCACCATCTGACTCCGATGGCTCCGACGCAACAACAACCAAGCGTGGCAAGTTTAATTGCGACAGAAATGAATTCTTCACAGCCACAGCAATAACAAATTCCCCCTCTCCCCCCCCCCGTCCTTCCTTCCTTCCTTCGCCTCCTCCTTCTTCCTTTCTACCCCCTTCACCCCGCACCAGCCAACGAATCCCCACTCCCTCTTCTGATTGGACCACCTCGTCTTCTCATCCAACATTCCTCTGTCACACATCCACTCTTCATTCGTCCGTTGGTGGCGGGTTCGGCGAAGGTGCGAGGGTGTGAGGACTAAGTTAGTGGTCCGAGGAGGAGCAGAGTGTGTGATGCTTGTGTGGGGGTGGGGGAGAGAGAGATTATGCAAGGAGAATGTCAGAATATTATTATTATTCGTATAATTATTATTATGCCAATTATTATTCCAGATCCCGAACTGCGCAGTAGTGGTAGAAGGGGTAGGGGGAGTGGGGAAGCCTAGCCTTGCTTGCGCGAGGATGAATTCTGTACATCCATTTCCCCTCTTTGATGGCTTTATTGGGCAGAAGGGCTGGAGTATTTGCCTTATTCTTGTGGTGTATGCAATCATTCTCTGCTTTCACCGTTTGGCTCACATTGATTGGACTTGCACGTGTCTACTGCTGCTCTGGGAAAAATGAAAATTCTTACATGATAGGTGATGAATGGACAAGTGTATATATATTCGCGTGTGTGTGTAGCTCTATATATAATTCATCTTTAATGGGAAAAGGGGGGGGGGGGAGGCACTGGTAATAGTTATTGTTGAAATGCATGAATTGTCAGGATAACTATGAGGAAGTCAACTGAAGCATGTTGTAGTTGTTATAAAACAAAAACATCATGTTGTGTGTGAACATGAGTGAGATGCAGATTGTTTTTGCTCCCTTTTTATTTCTTTTTTTTATATTCGGGATTTCAATGTGTGGTTTTGTACACATTGTTTCATTAATGGTATGTTTATGTTATGTGGGCCACATTGGATTAGAAGACTCCATTGAAACTAAAACGAGTCTTTTTAGAAAAGTGTATTCTTGGAATTCTTAGGCATTCAACTTTCAACAAACCAACATGTTTTTATATTTTTTATTTTTTTCATGTTTTTGAATTATATAGTTTTTATTCACCTGCAAATATCCCATCTTAATTTTTTGTCATGTTTTTGGTAGTTCAAACATGAATTTCAACTTTCAATTTTGTAAGTGAAAGTTCCAATATTACCAAGGATTGAATTTCATTCCAACTGTTTTAAATGATATTATCTTTTATTCAAATATTTTGAATACGAGGTCTTTGAACTTTAGTGTTCAATGATATTTATATGCACAAGAACTGTGTCCAGCGGGTCTTAATCAATTGCTTAATTTTGTCGTGCGTAATATTCTCCAACCACACAGTGTATTGCCTATTAATATACGAACTTTTTGAATCATTCTAAATAAAAACATGATTCGAACGACTATTCATCTTGCAATTATGCTTGACATTTAAGTATTTGAAAAGCTAGTGGAATCAACAGTAATGAAGGCTTCAAAGATTTAGATGAGAATCTATCCACTAAATATAAATGGAGAATGAAAACTACAGGTCGGAAATTAAAAAAAAAAAAAAAAAAAAAAAAACAGAAGTATAAGAGAAGGAAGAAAGAATGAAGGCCTCATCATAACAATTTTTTTGGTATGGTGCACATTTTATTTAATGGATTTCTATTTAAAAAAAAACACTTTTTAGACATTTTTTTTATTGGTCTAGTTCAAATATAGTTTTTAAACTATAAAAAAATATCAAATAGAAAATTAAAAGAAATAAATATTTTTACATAGTATAAAAATATTACATAAAAATGTAAAAATTTTTAAACATAAAATAGAAGTGAGTAAAGAGAAATTAAAGCTAATTATACATACATACATATATACATACATACATACAAACATATAGTGGAAATTTAAATAAACATAGAAAAATATGTAGTTTTAAGTTTTACATATCATATATTAAACAATTTTGTGGTGAAAGAATATGGTTGCTGAAACTTATTTTTAAGCATGTGGGTGAAACCAATAGATTGAAAAAGACCCTATTTTGATGCAAAATATTTGTAGGATTAGAAAAATTTATACATTCATACACACATGTACAACATGCAATACATTTTTTTTTTTATAAAGTCATAATAATAAATATTATCAACACAAAAAGTGTTATACAACATAAAACAACTTCTAAAGTTATAATAGTAAACATTATTAATATAAGAAATAATGCAAAGTAAATTTTTTCCTATTTAATGCACATCAATACTAAAATATTTTTAATTTTTAATTTTTTTAATTCTCAAAAAGTCATTGGGATTGTCAAAAATTAAGATAGCCAATCACAAGATAGTAGAAGATTATTTAGACTAGTTTATAGATCTTGTAGAAAAAATCGACGTTATTTTTGATAATTCCATCTAAATCTCATAGTTAAAATAAGACTTACTATCTAATATCAAACAAGGCATGATGTACATGTGATTCAAAAGTATAGAAGAAACAATTGAAGCTATTCTTGAAATTAGACACATATTATTATTTGCATGAAAACTTAAACAAAAAAATTTGGGTAGAACATTGGTAACACGTAAACATTGCCACAAGATGCACTTTAAAGATTGTTAGTGGAATCTCTCAAAATCACACAACTATCTAACTGATATTTAAGAAAAGTTGACAATCACTATTATGATGCATTTAAATTTAAGTGCATCAAAGATATTTAGAAAATAATTAATTTTACTTATAGAAATGAAGGAATATAATACTAATATATTTATAAATTTGAATGGGATTTAAAATAGGAGATTATTGGCTTAAATGAATTATTCAAACTTTGAGGGTATTGTCTTTTAAGATAGATATACGACTCTATAATGGTTCAAGATAGATATTGAGAGAAGATTAGCATAGGAATTTTGGCATCAAGTAATTTTTTTTTTTTTTTTTTTTTTTTTTTTTTTTTCTCTCTCTTTTTTCTTAGATAGGAATGTATAGAAGATGATTGCTAGAAATTTGACGCAGTAAGTTTCATGACTGATTTGAGATTTTTGATGCCACTTACTAATTTTTAATTTTTAATTTATTCTATTTTTTATTGAAATTTGACAAGAAGCTAGATCTTATTGTTAGTTTTTTTTTAACAAGTCTCAATATGTAAAAAGAAGAATTGTAACAAGGAAAATCTATACGAGTTTGTGGAAGGGGGGTCATTGGAGTTTTTGGACAGTGTAACTCAAGACTAATTTGGAGTTTTTTATGCCATTTACTATATTTTTTTATTTTTTTATTTTGAGACTTTGAAAGAAGTTAGATCTTTTTATTATCTTTCTAATAAGCCTTAGCACAAAAAATGAGGAGTTCTGACAAGAGAGATCCATGCAAGTTTATAGGAAGGAGATCATTGGAGTTTTTGGGCAGTATACTTCAAGACTAATTATGGATTTTTTGTGCTATTTTTTTTTTAAGAAGAAAAAGATTTTGAAGAAAGATGGATCTTTTTGTTAGCTTTTTAATAAGCCTTAGTACACAAAAAGAGGAGTTATGATAAAAGAGATCCAAACTAATTTATAGTTAGGAATTTTAAAGACAACAACTATAGTAAGTGGCTAATTTTTTTCTTTATTTGGCTCTCATTTTTTAAATTTTTTTATTGAATTTAATAATTTAAAATTTATAATTTGAGTTTAGCTCAAAAAACTAAATTTTTCCTACATTAGATTAGTAATAAATAAATTATAGATATTTTAGTGGGAAAAATTTTGGATTTAAGATTAGAGCTAGGAATTAGATGCATGTTCGCATAAGAAAGAAATAAATCTAAAACTTATATTGAGCCTTTGGAATATTTTATATTTATGTTTATTTGGGCAATAATATAATTCTTATAATGCACTTGCAATCAAAAACTCCATATTCTCTTTAAGAGGCTTGCCTTCTTGACACCACAACTATAGAATTGGAAGAAGAAATCAAATATAATATATTCCATCTACAATGCATTAAAAGACTAAATAATCAACTAATATAAACAAACTTGTATTTTGAATGTTCAAAAAAGTATTAAATCAACAATTACATTCATGCATAAAAATAATTGACAAAGTACTAAAATGAAGGTAAGTTTTTCTACGTTGTCGTATTGTCACACGTCTATATGATGAAAATATAAATGAAGAAGACTTATTAATATTTAGTCACCTTGGATGTTAGAAGCGGTGGTCAATTCCAGTGCAAATACTGAGAGGCCAGGTTCAATTTTCCCATTATAGTCAGCCGGGACATACTCACCAGTAATAAAATGTTCCATTCGATTCCAATAACGGGAGTCAGCAAAAAGAGAAAGGACCAATTCAACGATGGATGAGCCTGGTTCGAAGAGCCAATTGGATCCAATTTCAGAAGACCTCGAATCTAGGTCCTATTACGGGCCTCTTATCCAATATGAGACCTGAATTGGTCCGACAATCCAATGTGGTCTAATTATGGGCTTCAGTTTTGTTTCAGGTTGTTCCGATTCTTTGTACCATTCTGAGAACGTCCTTTCGGTAAAAAGATCTCTTAAAGGCGAAAATGGGGGGGAGAAAGCTCCGTCGGCTGTTCCAATTCGGGAAATCTAAGGCGAAAGAATAGGATCTTCTCAGGGTTAAAGGGGAGGATATGTTAAGAAATGAAGAGGAGAGAATCAGGGTTTTAAGGGTCGGAGAGCTGGCTTCATGTGGGAAAAGACAAAGAGTTGGGGGTTTTTTTTTTCTTCATAGGGTTTTGGGAAGACTGAGGCAATCGTTGTTGAAAGTCAATGATATATTGGTGAACTGGATTTTTCTTAAGAGAGGAAAAGGCTGGTACTCTTAATTGTTGTTGAAATGGGGGATACTTTTGTGGTTGAAATTCAGAGTTGTCTAGAAGGTTGAGTATGTTGAATGCATATGTGGTTGTGTTAATCTGACTATACGGATATAGGATATCTGCCAATAGTTTCAAGAGGTTTTGGGAGTTGATAAATTGGGATTTGTTTAGGGTTTCTATGATAACTGGGGACCTACCAATAGGGATAAGAA